GCATAGCTTTTCCTATCACTGCTATACTGATGACACTCAACTCTACCTCTCATTCCAACCAGATGATCCGATAAGACCTGTTCGCATCACAGCCTGTCTGACAGACATTTCTGGCTGGATGAAAGACTACCACCTTCAGCTCAACCTTGCTAAGACAGAACTGCTCGTGATCTCAGCCAACCCAGCACTTCATAACTTCTCTATACAGCTAGGTTCATCAACCATAACTCCTTCCAGGACAGCCAGGAACCTTGGAGTTGTGATTAATGATCAGTTAAGATTCACAGACCATATTGCTACTACGGCCCGGTTCTGCAGATTCACCTTATACAACATTAGGAAGATTAGACCCTTTCTTTCAGAGCAGGCCGCACAACTCCTTGTCCAAGCTCTTGTTCTCTCCAGACTGAACTATTGTAATGCTCTCTTAGCATGTACTATCAAGCCTCTGCAACTGATCCAGAATGCAGCAGTGAGAGTGATCTTCAATGAACCCAAGAGCTACTACGGCCCGGTTCTGCAGATTCACCTTATACAACATTAGGAAGATTAGACCCTTTCTTTCAGAGCAGGCCGCACAACTCCTTGTCCAAGCTCTTGTTCTCTCCAGGCTGGACTATTGTAATGCTCTCTTGGAGGGCCTGCCTGCATGTACTATCAAGCCTCTGCAACTGATTCAGAATGCAGCAGTGAGAGTATTCTTCAATGAGCCGAAGAAAGCCCATGTCACACCTCTTCATCATTTTGCACTGGCTGCCAATAGCTGCTCACATCAAATTCAAGGTACTGATGTTTGCCTACAGGACAACCACTGGCACTGCACCAATATACTTAAACTCTCTAGTTCAGACTTATGTGCTCCTCCAGAAGCTTGCGTTCTGCAAATGAATGACGCCTCGTGGTGCCATCCCAAAGAGGCACAAAATCACTCTCACAGACCTTTTTCTGGATGGTGCCCAGCTGGTGGAACGACCTGCCTATCTCAATTCGATCAGCTGAGTCTTTAGCCATTTTCAAAAAACGTCTGAAGATGAATCTTTTTCGCCCAGCTCCTGACCAATTAATACTAGCAGTTACCTATTCTATTCTATTCTATTCTATTCCTTTTGGTCTAATTTATGAAAAAAAAAAAAACTTGCAATGTGTACTGTTAGACTAACTGAGATTTGTCACAGAACTTGTATACTGTTGCTCTCTTGTTGCTCTGATTGCTTCTATTGTTCTCCTCATTTGTAAGTAGCTTTGGATCAGGGGCGGACTTACCCATTAGGCAAAGGTAGGCGACTGCCTTGGGCCCCCAAAAGCCAAGGGCCCCCTAAAATGCTTTTCATATAGGATATGCGCATTAAGCGCTGACACGCGAACGGTTGCTGTTTACGTTGTTTATTTCCATGACACCCGTCCGAGTCAGTGGCGGCTGCAGGTGTACGGCTGTACGCACTGTGAGTCATGAGCACTCAGACTGACCTGAGATTTGCCTCGCAAACATTTCAGCAGTTATTATAGGCCTGTGTGTCCCGTATTTCTGTCGACTGAACCCATGCCGTTAATTATGAATTTATCAGTCTTTTGCATGCCAAAGTCAATTTCTGCATGGAAATATTACGCCAAATAGAAGCAGAAAATCGTGCTATACGCGCTTTCATGAGATCGGGTTAGCCTACAAAAATGAATTTGTTGGCTATTTTACAAATGGGAATACAACGAATTCATGACAATTTTTACATTCAAGCTACCCGTAAAATTTATAGTGAAAAGTACTTTAAAAGCGTCTGGAATGCAATAAAGTAATTTTAAAGCTGTTGTTTAAAGCATTTGCTGCATGGATAAAATATATAAATAATTAACACATCATACAAAATTGCAACAAAAATCAGAAAAAGCAGCTATACAATTATAGTTTTACATATATGACATAATTAGGCTAGTGTTTTATTTTTTAACTGTATGGAATTATAAAATAAATCGCAAATTATAATCAGGCCTTCCATCAATTATAGTGATGAAAAAATGACTGGCCATCTCCTAATTGGATGTGCCTTTAGAGAGAAATGCACGGATTACATAATGAAAGAGTTTATTTTATTAGGAGTCTATTTTCGATGACTGCTTTTGTATTATATTTGTGCGTCTTTGCAGGATCTGAAATGTCTGCAGACTGGTGTGAGCAGTGAGGATGGAGAAGTTCACAGCAGCATCCTGGAAATGGTCCAGTGCCGCAGATGAGACACTCCATCACTCCACCTCTTACTGTCTCATCTGGACCGGATGTTGCTGTGGTCTCTTCATCCTCAGTGACCCCAGAGCGAGTGAGAGCATCTAGAGAAACACCAAAAGACAATGAGGATGTGAGTTTGGTCAAGTTTGTCCTGCTAGCTTGTTCATACAACATCAGTCAATGAAACTTGAGTTTCAGAAGCTTTAAGGTCTATGTGGCGGCTATAGCAGCTTTTCATGCTCCTATAGACGGGATATCGGTCGGCAGGAACAACCTCGTTGTTCGATTTTTGAAAGGGTCTAGGAGGTTGAACCCCCCTCGCCCTTCTACGGTCCCTATAATTGAAACCAGGAAAAATCTGTAAAATAAATTTTTTTTCTGTAAAACCTTTAATGAAAATTTCTGTAAAATTATTGTTTTTGCACTTTATTTCAATTAAGATATTTTACTTTAATTTTACGGTTTTGGTTTGGCAGCCGTAGCAGCCAGTCATTTACCCTTTTTTTTACGAGTTTTTTTTTTTACAGTGTACTTAAGTGCGTCGGCCCACTGGGAAAATGCCCGGTATGCCTGATCACCAATCCAGCCCTGGGGCCGTATGTATAAAGCCGCTCAGAGTAAAATTTTTGTCTTAAGTGTGTCAAAATTCTAAGAATGATGTAATTTTACTTTAAAAAACGTATTTATCGCCATATGCATTGGCAGTAGCAAGTTCCTGTACTTGCTTGCAGCAGCAGCAATAACCAACAGCAGCAGCAATTCAGCAGCAGCGTAGCAGATCTGTTCCGCCAAGACCAAATGCATTAACATTGTCATATCCATCACCATGCTAAAATGTTCAGAGAGTTGTCATGATTTAAATTCTATTTTTGATCTAAACAAAAAATATATAGATTTAATCAAAACAAAAATTCTCATTTAAGAAATGTATTTTTATAGTTTTTTATAGCTCTTTCCTCCTCACTCAGTCAATGTAGCGCCACTCGCCCCACCTCAGAGCAGTGCAGAGCCGCTGCCCACACAGGTTATAACTCGCCGGCGCATCCTACGATCAAGCTGCTAAAGCTGCTATGTCAGTTCCTGAGCACATGGAAAACTATTCCGGGAATCTCACGCTGGTTACTCGGTGTGATAGAGCGTGGGTACGCCCTTCAATTCAGACGCAGACCACCCCATTTCAGTGGTGTAGTGCAGTTTCTAACATAGCCTCAAAATGCCCTGGTTCTGAGACAAGAGGTATGCAACCTCCTCGGAAAAGGAGCGATAGAACGAGTCCCTCCGAGCGAGCTGGAGAGTGGGTTTTACAGCCGCAATTTTGTGGTGCCCAAGAGAGATGAAGGACTCTGCCCGATTCTAGATCTCAGGCCCATCAACAGAGCGCTCTGCAAGTGTACTTTCAGGATGATAACGTTGAAACAGATCCTGGCGCGAATTCGCCCCGGGGACTGGTTGCGTTCGTGAATTTAAAGGATGCGTACTTTCACATTCAGATAGCACCGCATCACAGACGCTTTCTGAGATTTGCTTTCGAGGGCACAGCGTACCAGTACTCAGTTCTCCTGTTTGGGCTGGCTTTGGCCCCACGCACTTTCTCGAAGTGCATGGACGCAGCTCTCACGAGAGGGATGCGTGTTCTCAATTATTTGAATGACTGGCTGATCTTAGCTCAGTCACGGGACACACTATAGTCAGCCATATAGACAAACTGCTTCGTCACTTTGAGTTCTTGGGGCTATGTGTGAATGTGCGTAAGAGCATTCTCGCCCCGAGTCAGTCCATAACGTCTCTGAAAGAGTGCTTCGACTCTGTGGAGATGCGCGCTCGCCTCTCTCAGGAGTGCTTGGCGGCCACTTTGTCTTCCCTGCGCCATTTTAGACTGGGCAGCTCTGTTCACTTGAAGTAATTTCAGAGGCTTCTGGGACTCATGGCAGTGGCATCAGCGGTATGTCATCTGGGTTTACTACACATGCGCCCGCTGAAGTTATGGCTAAAATCTCGAGTCCCTTGGACGGCGTGGACTTCGGACTGTTTGCACATCGCGGTCTCACATCGCGGGCTGCATCGAAGCTCTGAGGCCGTGGCGCAAAGATCTCTTCAGCCAGGGGGTTCACCCACATCATGTGTCGTGGTCACGACGGACGTGTCGACTCGTGGATGGGGAGCAGTGTGCGAGGGCATGCCGGCTTCAGGGCTGTGGTCAGAACCTCAGAGCCGGTGGCACATAAACCGTTTTGGAGCTGGAAGCAGTGTTCTTAGCTCTGTAGCGAATCAGCTCATGGGAAATATTTATAATTAATCATAACAAGTTATAATTAACTATAAATATTTAGATCCGCTGTAAGTATTTACTTACTGAAAAAGGTGAAAAGGGTGTAAACAGAGTTTTGATTGATGACTTAAGACTGCTCTTATTGTCAAATTATCACTCAGAACTTACTGATGTTTCACAACAGGCTTAACCTCTGAGGAAGTGAAGTAGAGGAGGGAAAAGGAAGATGGAGAGCATTCCTATTCAGATTGTGATTATTGCTTGGTGCTCAGGACGATAGTTAGGCCCTAGTATTTGTCTCGATGACTTGTGTAACGGGGTCATAAAATTAGAGCACGTGTTGAAAATAAACAAATCAAAAATAGAAGTGTCTCTGGTTCCTTTTGCGGTTCAGAAAGAACATAAAATCAAAGTGGAACAAAAAGGGGCATAACATGTAAATGGATTTAAAATTAGCTGACTGCTATTATTAAAACAGGGTAATCAATCTGGTATTAGGAACAATCAGTAGCACTAGTGATCAACTGTAAGATTTGTGTTGGGCAACACACCATGTCTGGTCACAGCTGCTGCGTGTTCAGCTCCCATGCTGAAGCCAGCCATGTGTGTGCCCCGCCCATAACTTAATCTCTAGATAGACAGTTAAAATGTAATTAAATTTAGATTTAATTAACTAGTAACTGAGCAATGAGCAATAGGAAGGATACATCTAAGATAGTTA